GTCGAGTATCACTCATAGTGATCTTAAACAAAAGATCTCTACTGCATCATTCTTACATTTCCTGACATGTAAGAGCCCACTGCAGCAGTCACCTTGTCAGTCTACCTGGTTGACTGATGGTCTTCCTCTCCTTTGTTGATACACACACACACACACACACACACACACACACATACATATATATGTATATATGATGTATATATATATATGTATGTTATGTATGGGAGATGAGATATATATGAGAAATGAGATATATATGAGAATGAGATATATATATATGAGAGATGAGATGTATATTATATATATATAGTCACAGGACAGAGCAGAGTTTAGGGATGTTGTATAGGGTAGCTATGAGTCGTAAGCGACTCGACGGCACATAACAACAACAACAACATATATATAGTTGTTGGTGTTATGTGCTGTTGAGTCTCCTAAGACTCATAGCAACCCTGTGTACAACAACCCTAAACCCTGCTCTATCCTATGTCAGTCTCACTGTCTCCAACACACCTACCGTCATTACCCCAGTCCCTGAATCAAATCACCTCATAGATGATCTTCCTCTCCTGCGCTGTCTCTCCACCCTCCCAAGCATGATGTCCTTCTCCTAGGACTGGTCCCTCCTGGCAACCTGTTCAAAGTATGTGAGACAAAGCCTCAGAACAGTTGCCTCCAAGAAGCAGCCTGGTTTAACCCTCTCCAGAATGAACCTGTTCATTTTTTAGCAGTCCATGGTATATTCAATAGTCTGACGCCACAGCTCAAAGACATCAATTCTCCTTCTGTCCTCCCTAGTCATTGTCCAACTCTCTGATGCATAGCAAGTGATTGCAAAGACCATGGCCTGTATGAAGTGTACCTTAGTCTCCAGAGTGACACCATTGCTCTTCAGTACTCTGGAGAAGTCCCTAACAGCAAGCTTTCCCATTGCAATATGTCTTTTAACTTCCTGGCTGCTGGTGCCAAGAGTGTTGACTGTGGAGCCAAGCAAACTAAAGCTGTTAACAGTCTCAATTTCTTCATCATCCATCCTGATGCTACCAATTGGTCCAGTGGTGAGAATCTTTGTGTTCTTGATATTGAGCCTCAATCCATATTGAAGACTGCAATCCTTGACCTTCTGCAGCAAGTGCTTTAAGTCCTCCTCTGTTTCAGCAAACAGGGTTGTGTCATCTGCATAATGTGGATTGTTGATGGATATTCCACCAATCCTGATGCCACTTCTTCTCATACAGGCCAGCATCCCAGATAATCTGCTCTTCTTATAGGTTGAAAAGGTATGGAGATAGGACAAATCCCTGACAAATGCCCTTCCCAATTTTGAATCATGCAGTGTTTCCTGGCTCTATTCTGACCACTGCCTCCTGGTCCAAGTATAGGTTTCACATGAGCATGATCAAGTGTTCTGGGATTCCCATTCTTCTCAGAGTCAGCCACAGTTTGTTATGATCCACACATTCAAATGCCTTTTCATAATCAATGATACATAGATAGGCATTCCTCTGGTACTTCCTGCTTTCAGCCAAGATCCATCTAACATTAGCTACAATATCTCTAGTAACACAACCCCTTCTAAAGCCAGCCTGTACTTTTGGCAGTTCTCTGCTGATGTGCTGTTTCCAGTCATTTTTGGATAATCTTCAGCAGAATCTTGCTTGCATGTGATACCAATGATATTGTTCGATAATTTCTAAACTCTGTTGTGTTACCTTTCTTTCGAATGGGAACAAATATAGATCTCTTCCAGTCAGTTGGCCAGGTCATTGTCCTCCATATTTCTTGACACAGTTTAGTGAGTACATCTATGGCAACATCTGTTTGTTGAAATACATCAATTGGTATACCATCAATTCCTGGGGCCTTATTTTTTGACAATTCCTTCAAAGCAGCTTGAACTTCTTCCTTCATCACCATAGGTTCTTGCTTGTATGTTGTTTCATTAAATTCTTCTGCCAATTCTGTCTGCTAATTCCTTTCGGTACAGTGACTCTTTATCATGTTTCCATCTTGTTTTAATATTTCTTGGATCATTTCTTATTCTGTTTAAATCATCCTTAAGTATAGCAACTCGAGGTTTGAATTTGTTCTTCAGTTCTTTGAGTTTAAGAAATGCTGAGCTAGTTCAGCTCTTTTGATTTTCTGACTCCAGCTCTTTGCACATTTATTTCATGGTAATATTTTACTTTGTACTCCCATGCTACCTTTTGAAATCTTCTGTTCAGCTCTTTAATATCTTGAATTCTGAGAAGCTATGGCTTCTCAGCGCTCTAGTGCAATCAATATTCAGAGTCTCTTCTCATATGCATTTTGATCTTTTCTTCCACCTCTGTCTTTGTAATGACCTTTTGCACTCTTCCTGGATGGTACTCTTGATATCGTCCCACAACTCATCTGGTCTTTGCTCACTGCTGTTCAAGGACTCAAACCTGTTCCTGACATGGTTCTGAAATTCAGGTAGGATAGACTCAAGGTCATATTTTAGTTCCCATGGATTTGATTTCATTTTCTTTAGCTTCAGCTTGAACTTACATATGAGTAGTTGGCGATCTGTTCCACAATGAGCACCTGGTCTAGTTTTCACAGCCGATATTGAGCTTCCTCAACATTTTGTGGCCTAGTGGCAAGAAGCTGTGCTACAATCTTAAAGGCATGTGTTCTAATCCACCAGCTGCTCTTTGGAAGAAGGATGGGCAATCTCCTTCTTTGCCTCTGAAAACCTGCTGAAGGGTCAGCTATGGGTCAGCTCCAACTCGACAGTACATGACAACACACTGACATAAATTACTTATATATAGATATATTTTTAAAGATTTTTTAAAATTTTATTTTTTAAAAATTTTATTCTGATTTACAAAATTGGAATACATTGTTTTTCACAAAAGATTCTTCCCATTTCCTTCACTCTAACCATCCATTTAATTGTGCAATTCTATGATTAAAACATTAGTCCCCCCTGTCCTCACACCTCTGTTTGCACCCTCCCACCTGCCTTGGATCCTCATACTCATTCTACAATAATGGTTTTATACAGTATTTGTCCTTGTGGGACAGACTGAGTTAGTTCACTCAGCATAATGCTCTATAATCCCTCCCAGTTTAGGTATTAATTTACAAAATGATTGCTCCTGCGTGCTGCATAGTATTCCGTTGTATGAATGTACCACAACTTCTCAATCCATTCTTTGTGGTTGGACATCTGGGCTGTTTTGTTTTCTCTTTCAATGCTTCTTAGTTGGAATTAACTAAAAGCTGATCTTCCCTTGAGCTTTCAAGGTTGTGCATTGCACAGGAGGAGACTGATAATCTTCTTTGGTGGTGCTGGTGGATTTCAATGCCCGGAGGTTACAGCCTTTGAGTCAGCAGCACAGCTCCTTGTGGACTACAGAGCCAAAGCTTGTTTTATTCTGTAAGACAGCAATACTGTCTAAGTCCTCATCCAGCTCTCTTCCCCTGGCAAAGGAGGTCAGGGTTCAGAATGCAATTAACCACACAAACTGTATCTTTCTTCTTTTTGTCTTTTCCCTTTGTTGCTCTAGATGGACAAAGTTTGATGGATGGACACTTAAAAGTCTTTAAGACCCCATGCGTGATGCAATGAACTAGGAGGAAGACAAGCACTAAAAATGATCTCTGATGAGATGAATTGATTCTGTAACTGGAGTGGTGGGAATAAGTGCATTTGAGATGGCTAGGTTGGCACAGGATAGAAGAGCGTTTAGAGCTCTTGTACATAGGGTCGCTATGAGTTGCAAGCAACTTGATGGCACATAACAACAACAACAACAACAACAACAACAGGCCAATTGATTGGGGTATTCCATGAAATCATGACACTAGACCTCTGGTCAAGGAATCAAATCCCTTGAGGTATTTGGTTGTACACAGTCAACCTTACTAGCCACTCTTGTTAAGAAAACCAACATAGGTGTAATACTTATTTACCACAATTACAATAATCAGCTGTGCAACCCTACTGGGTTTTTGGTTTGTTGTTTTTTTTTTATCCTGTATTTTAATTTTTGAGGAATTTCCAGACTGTTTTACAAAGCAGCTGTAAAATCTTACAATCCCACTAGCAATGGATGGGTTGTACATAGCACTTTTAATTTTATTTTTTGTTTTTTTGTATTAGCATTCTTTTTCCTTTTACTAGTTTATTTACAAAATTTTAATACAAATTCAAACACATTCTTTCAATTTTCCTCACTTCCCCACCCATCAAATTGTCCACATCCCTCTGCTTTCAGCCTCTCCCATGGCTCTTGAATCCTTATATTCATTCTACAATAATGGTTTTATACAATATTTATCCTTGTGGGACTGAGTTAGTTCACTTAGCATAATGCTCTCCAGTCCCTCTCAAGTTAGGCAATAATTTACAAAATAATTGCTCGTGCATGCTGCATAGTATTCCACTATGTGAATGTACCATAATTTGTCAATCTGTTCGTTTGTGGTTGGACATTTTAGCTATTTCCATGTTCTTGCGATAGTGAATAATGCTGCTGTGAACATTGGTATACAAATCTCAGTTTGTACCTCAGTTCTCATATTCTCAGAGTATATGGAATTTCTATGTTCAACTTTTTGAGGAAGCACCAAATTGTCTTCCAGAATGGTTGTACCATTTTATAATCCCACAAACAATGTTCCTTTCTTGCCACAGCCTCTTCAACATTTATTACATGCTACCTTGCTAAACTTTGCCACTGTTACTGGAGATGGTACCTCATTGTGGTTTTGATTTGCATCTCTCTTATTGCCAGTGATTTGGAGCATTTCTTCATATGTCTGTTTTGCAACCCTATTCTTCATGTGATTTTTCCCCATCTCCCAGGAATAAGTTTTCCACTTTACAGAAATGAGAACAATAGCTGACTCTCCTACATAACAATAGCTGGGTTTTTGTTGATGTTGTTGTTTTTTGCTAGTTTGTCCAATTTCTGACGGGGACAGGACTCTGGGGCAGTCAGCAGTGTGACAGGGTCCTGGCTCACCTGGTCTGGCGCTGTACCCCAAAGCTGGCAGGCTGGCTCCCAGTACCGTGGACAGCTCCGCCGGGGGCGGGGACTGTGACGCCATAACGCCGGGGGACTTGGCGCTGGTTGTCCGCCACCCAGGCCACTGCAACTCGTAATACAGGTAAACGTCCCTAGGCGCCCTTCCTCGCAGCCCCTGCCCTCCGCCTCGGGACCCCCTACGGCTCGCCGCCCAGCTGGATGGGCGCCAGAGGCCTGCGCTCTGGCACCAGTGCCTCCGCGCTCTGGCAGCGACTTAGGGGCTGGGCCCCGCTGATCTGCTCTCTCTAGGCTTGTGGCCTGTTCCCTGCCCGTACAGAGCCAATCTGAGCTGCAGGGGTGGGGGTTGGATAGGAAGCGTGACCTTGCTGCGCCCTTGGGTGACTTTGGATTCCCCAGAGACCTCTCCCTCACCCCACCCCCACGCTCCCCTTCACGTGCAGGTTTTCGCATAAAGAAGTGGTTAGGTAAAAGTGAAATTTCAGGCATCAGGGATGTTTCTTCCATCCTGAAGACTACAGTCAGCCCATTTGCCTGCCCCAGGTGGGGAGGCTGTGCTGCTCTGTGTGTTCCCGAGGAGGCCAGGCCCTGGACTGCGCAGGGCCAACCTGGGCCTCCGGGAGGATCATACGTAATTCTCTGATCAGCTTCTTAAAGTCCTGGGATCTCGTGGAGGTAGGCCCTTGGAGCTTTAACCTTGCTCTTCACTCACAGGAGACAGCTAGAGAGGCAGAGACTGGTCCAGGTAGGGACTGGCCAGAGTAGGAAATGCTTCCTTATCTTTAGGGGTTTACGGACAATCCCTACTTCAGTAGGCAGCTGTGAGTGTGAACTCAGATGAAGAGGTGCATGCGTTCATCCTGTGGCGCCGTGGAACAAGTTTGTTTCATCTCTGCACTTTTCCCTCTGCTGAGATTTTTGCTTAAGGGCCCCTTCTGTGCTGCATGTCTTTTCTGTAAGCAGCCATCCTGCCTACTCCCTATCTTATCTTCTATTCTGAAAACTAGAGGTAGGTTTTACTCCTGAGTACAGTACATCTGATTCTCAGAATGCTCAGAATGGGAGACCAGGGGATCCCCATCCCAGTTGGAGTCCAGGCTGGTGCTACCCGGCTTACAGATCTTGAGGCAAACCGTTACCCTCTCCTGAGGAAATAATTGATTGATCTTTAAAATGGATGATGCATTACCAGTCTGTCCACATAAAGGCAGCTCAGACACAGCCCGGTGGAGAGACATAGTGGCCATGGGCTTCTTGGAATGATTCTGGAGACAGTGTGTTTCCAGATAGAGATGCCCAGAACAACTCTGATGTCTTGTGGAGAGGGCCCTGGGCTCTTCCTGGCTGCCTTCACCAGCGTTAAGGGCCTGGCAGGGCTCATTCTGGGCCCTCATTCTTCTGCTGGCACCAGGATGGGGTGGTTGGCTGAGTGTCCTCCTGCCAGGCTGGACGAAGGCCACAGCAGTGTTCAGTGGCTGCCTGAGATGATTAAGTGTTGGTAAAACACAGTGTTCCCATATTGGCCTGGGCTGGACACAGCCAACTTTGTCCTGAGTTGCCCATTACCCTATGGAGTGGCTCTAGCTGTTGCTGGTGCAGAGTGCACTAGAGTAACCAGGAGTTTGGATTTGTGTCTAGACCCTGTTGTGAGGACCTACAGTGTTCCATCATAACTAAGCACCTGGAATCTGAGGCAAATGACTTCTCTCTGGTTCATAAAGGGAGCTGATAACGGAACCCACCTCCTAGGATTACTGACAGGATCAAATGTGCCCAGTGCCAACTTCAGAGTCCCTGCTTACTCATTGTTCTTCTCCTCTTGGTGGCTGGCTGGCTGCATCTGGACTGCTGAAGAACAGTATTGATATATAGATTTGATGCCTCAGGTCAAGAGTTCCTGAGTGTCATGTCCAGGGCATGGTAGTCAGAAGCTGAACATTGGTAGGAACCCCAGACCCACCGTGCTTGGAAAAGTGCTCCACAGAGTGAATTCTGAGCTAGCAGGGCTAGATAGGCCTACTGAGGTCTCAGAGGCCCAGTAAAGGGGAGCAGAACTTGGGGGGTTCTTGGGACTTATACTCCAACTTAACTTCTTTCTTCCTACAGAGGAATGTTTTTGTTTTTAAATTCTCTCTTCAGGCTTGCTGCTGAACCTTCCTTAATTGATGAGAACACCCTCCTTCCTTCCTTCTGCCTCAAGTGAGTTCAAGGGTGGAATGTGATGAGAGGAGCCAGCTCTCCCTGCCCAAGTGAACTGATGCGGGAAGGGGCCCTGTTAGCTGAGTCCACTTAGCCCAGGAACAGGGCTGGGAGCCTGTACACCACAGAGTGTGTGGTTGCTAGGGTTGACCTGCAAATGGGAGAGCAGGATCCTGGTGCCTGTGGAGTCACAGGTGAATGACTCTGGTTTATACTCTTCAAAGACCCCAATTTTCCAGGGAAGGCTTCTGTAGGCTGGGGCAATGGGAGTCTGCTCTTTCAGAGTTCATAGATGTGGGGTAGGGTGAAGACACAGGGACGACAGCCTGTGAGTGACAGTGTCTCGGACAGCATTGGACTCAGAGGGCTCCATCTACACTAGAGAGCCTGCATTAGGAACCTTAGGGTTTTTCCAGGATTGGACAGGAGACTCAGCACTCCTATTTGCTGAGAGAGCCTATTATTCAGGAATTTGCCCTGGAGGAGAGCAAGCAACAGGTTGGGGAGGGTGAGGAAATGAGCTCCAGGCTCTCGTTCCTTGCCAGGTGAGTGGACTTCCAATCTGTTCTCATCTGTTTGGCCTATTACCCATCCTGAGTGATCTTGGATCTGTGTGTCTACTCTGGGTGGGATGTAGGAGCTGGGGGGACAGTTTCAGCACTCATTGCTATGTGCAGAATGACTCCATTGCGGATGCTGGCGTCTCGGCTGGGTGCACAGACCCTGAGGCTCCTGGCCCCACATGATGTCCAGGTGCTCAGCTGGAAGTACAGGTCCTCTGGGCCTCCAGCCACCTTCCCCAGCAGCAGAGGTGGAGGTGGCTCCAGTTACATGGAAGAGATGTACTTCGCCTGGCTGGAAAATCCCCAGAGTGTCCACAAGGTCAGCTCTCTGCCCACACTGCCCACTGGCTGGGAGGGATACCCATGTGCCTTACTGCAGGGAAAGGGAATCAGGGGTGAAAGTAACTTGTCTGCTGTGGGATGGCGATTTGGGTTTCCCTGCCTCTCTAGTCTGTTTGCAAAAGAATTTTGTCTTTATCTTGCATGAAGAGAACCTGCTGTGCTCCTGTTGCTGTACCTGTTAGTGGTGGCTGTCCTGCTTTAGAAGTGTGGTCATGCCCTGGCCTGAGCACAGACCCCACATGTTTTGTCCCAACACACCTCTCAAGATGGCCCCTTGCAAGCATACAGGGATATGAGAATATATAAAAATAAAAATATCTAAAATATACATATATAAAAAATAAGACAAATAAGAAAATTCAGGTGTCAGAATGAGCCCTGGAAAGGGAAGCTTTCTCCCTCCACTTCACTTTACCCTTATAACATCTTATGTCCTAATTGTCAACCTCCCCAGTCCACTCCCATCTGCTAGTTCTCATTCTTCCAAATGTATTCCTTTTGTGCTCTTAGAGATAATTCCTTTGTGCAAACTTAATTACAAATGCTACTATGAGATCCCTTCACCCTTTAACCTCCAAAGCAACAGGACACACACAATTTGCTTTTTGCTTTTGTCACTTAGCTGAGATTTTCCCCCACATCAGCACATAAAGAGCTTTATTAGTCTCACCCACTCCCTTTACTATATCCCATCACTTCTGTGTTGTAATTTAATAACAGTCCCCATTAATGGACACTTGTTTCCAGTCCTAAGGATTCTGAACAGTGCTGCAATGCCAGTTCTGTAATTGTGTCATCTTGTAGGATAAATTCATCAAGTGTAATTGTTTGGCCAAAGATTACTTGTGTCTTTTATTTTAATGAATTTTTCAAGTTGCTCTCATGCTCCTGGTAGGTAAAGATGATGAAGATTTAGCCAGAGTGCTTCTTGGTGGCAAAGTTGGCAAAATTTCATCTCATATACTTTGGGTAGTTGTTAGGAGACACTGTTCTTTGGAGAGGGATATCATGCTTGGAAAGGTGGAGTGGAAGGTCTTCAACCAGATGGATTGAGACAGTGACTACAGCAAAGGGCTCAAGTGTGTCAAAGATAGTGAGGATGGAACAAGGTAGGACAGGGTTCAGATCTGATGTTCATAGGGTCTCTGGGAGTTGTACTCAATTCCACAGCACCTAACAACAATAACTGGGACCTATGGTTAAGTGGTAAGGAGCTTCACTGCCACCCCAAAGCCATGCAATATGAAAGAGAAAGATATACAATCTCCTATGTGATTTACTGCCTCTGAAAACCTCCTGAATGTCAGCTATGAGTTTTTTTCTGACTCATTGGTGCAAAACATGTAGCATGTGAAGATGCATGTGTAGTGATGCACCTTGTATGAGCTCCACTCGTGAAGATGAATGTCTGAAACTGTGTTGTGATCTCAGGGCATGAGGTATGACTCCACCAAGCTATTTGCAGAGGAAGGATGGGCAGTCTCCTCCCATGTGATTTACTGCTTCTGAAAACACACTGGAGGGCCAGTCATGAGTCGATTCTGACTCAATGGCACACAACAAGACCCAGCATAATTTTTTTCTTCTATGCATAGTTTGTTGTTGTTGTTGTTGTTGTTATGTGCCGTCGAGTCATTTGCGACTCATAGCGACCGTATGTACAACAGCCCTAAACCTAAAGCGTATGTCTTCCTGTGCTTGATTCAATTCATAACATATTCTGGTGATCTTTCATATCAGTAATAATAAATGCACCTTAATATTTTAAAGGTTTCATAAATGTCCATATTTTAAATTTACAAACATTTATTTAACCTATTTTCTATTGATGACCACCGTTTATGTGTTCCTACATTTTTATATTTATCAATGATCCTCTAGGGAACATGCTTATGTGCATACCTAGGCACACATGTACAAGCACCTCTATGAGTGTCTAGCAGTGGGATTGCTGCTTCAC